GGGCTGCTCCGCCCTGGACACAGGTACCACGAAACCAGGTACCACGAAACCAGGTGTGTTGTCATGTGATTTTCCAGGCGGTAGCAGAACAATGGGTCCTCTGCGCTGCAGACCCCCCATCTGTGTAATCTCATTACAAGACAAAGCAGGACCTCATGTATACAACCACTGTGTGTACACAGAAGTTAAAGTAGTCAGTTTCTACTTCAGTATCACTTGACTCTCATCAGTACAATTGGAAAATATACATGCAAGGAAAATAAATGTATTAAAGTAACCAAGGCTCAGTAGTTCTGGTCAATCATCAGTACAGTTTTACCATGTGTAAGCAAGGAAGGTAAACATATGAAAAGTAACTGAAAGACAATGAAGAACTGAAAAGTAACTAAAGATTATAAAGTAACTAGGGCCTATAAAAATAGAATCTTGCACTATTCTCCATTTAGTGTGAACCGGAGCTCCCCTTGTTTCAATGTAGTAAAGTCTAGGTATATGTGTATGTGTGTGTGTGTGTCTCATGTGATAACTAGGTCTTGATCAAGCACACAGAACAATGGGTTAACTGGGTTGCAGGCCCCCTATGTGTGTGTGAGACAATAAGTATGCTAGACTGGCCAAGTGGTCATCTCAGGTGATGAGACCCCCTGTGTGTGTAAGACAATAAGTATGCCAAACTGGCCAAGTGGTCATCTCAGGTGATGAGACCCCCTGTGTGTGTAAGACACCCCCTGGTGGGGCAGAACTTGGGATATGCTATGTGTATCCAGGTGTGGGCTAGCGGGGCTTTGTTAAAATGTAAATAGGTCGTCTGGTTGCCGGGGGGATGCAGACATTCAGAAGTTGCAGAAAGTAAGCAGATTCTACCTCATTACAATTGTAAGACATATAAGCAAGGAGAATAAATGTATTAGAAAATAACCAGAGCTCAGTAGTTATGCACAATAACCAATACAGCTGTAATCAGGTAAGATAAAGTTATGAAAGGTAACTAAAGGGAACTAAAGGCATGAGAAGTAACTAAAGCTGATAAAGTAACTAGAGTCTATAAGACTCAAATCTTACA